CCTATGGGAGGAGATAACAGACTCTGGATACAGTAAAGGTATAATAGAATAAGGTCCTGAATATAACATTAAACTATTCCTATAATAGATCTTAAACAATGAGAATATTATAGTATGAAAGTCCTGAATATAACATTAAACTATTCCTACAATAGGGAAAATTGTAGTTTGGTAGCTCTTAACTGAGTGAGTAAAGTCCTGAATAGGACTCTAAACTGTTCCTATAATACATCTGAAGGTACTAGATTATTATAGTATGGTAGCTCTTAACTGAGTGAGTAATGTCCTGAACAAGACATTAAACTATTCTTATAACAAATCTGAAGTACTAGATTGTTATAACAACATGATTTGAGTAAATCAGAAAATTACTCCTAATACAAGGATAAAAAGGGTATTAGTATATTATATGTCTCCTCCACATTCACAAGGACATATAATAAGGTGCTCTATACACACCTTCTGAATAGAAGTAAAACTAAAGGGGGTAACTAAACTAGAAACTATAAACAAGAGAGAATGACTTCCCACCAGTTAAATTTAGTTTTTAGAGTGTACTATTTCAGTCAGAGAGTCTGAATACTAGTCAAGCTAGAGCTAGCTAGTAAAGAACTAGGAGGCAGAGGACACATTAGTCTATATTACAGACTGACACTAAAAGTAGAATTATAGTAACTAAGGTAAAGGTAGAAGCCCTTTTAATAAGTTAACTAGTTACAACTGTTAAAAGGAAAACTATACTCACAAGTGTGGCTCTTACTTTTCAGCTATGAAAGTAGACTATAAAAATTAGCTGAAATGAAAGGAAAAGGCATTTATATTCACTTTAATACAGAATACAAAAAGAGGCAGACTATAAAAGAAAAGTATCTAAAGGAAAAGATACTAGTATAGGACACACAAAACAAAGGAAACAGAAAGGGGGGAAGGACACAAAAACCCACCCAAAATTTAATCCCAGCCTAATTAATTATAAAGCAAGTATTTTACAATAGTAGTAATACTGTTCAAGAAAGTATTACTTAGGAGGGACTGGATGTTAGGAATTGTAAAATACAGTAACTAAGTTTGGAAAAAGCTTAACTCAAGACTTGGAACCAAGTAGTTTATATACAAAGCCCTATATTAGATTGTGCTCTGGATTAGGAAATCTCCAATTGCCTTATGTAGAATTACTACACTTGGAATGTCTCGGATTATCGGACTTCACTATGTAGTATATAAGGTAGATACTTGCTTGATATCTCAATAAGAGAGAGTACTTGGGACACTCCTGCTATGCTTGTTAAAAGGTTATGAGCCTTGGTGCCTATTGAATGCCCCCACACACTCACTCTCACAGAATGCCTTTGCCTCCTGCCAGACCACCAAGCCCAAGACCTCCATCTCCCCCCAAACCCATTACAATGTCGTCTACAATGTATACCTTTGTTAATGTTACAATGAAGGACTCTGACGTTACAAAGTTCTTTGAGGGAACAGAAAAGTTGGCTGGTGTAAAGGGATACAAGATATGGTGCTTGTGCATACACAGTGCACTTGCTGCCATGATGCTCTTAGACCATCTAGAGCACAATCCCCCTTCCTCCAATGATGCTAGCATATGTACAGGTAATGTTTTGTATCATTGTATAATGAAAACAATAACTGATACAATTTATACAAACTTCACAATGCATACAAGTATTAGAAGTCTCATGAAGGTGCTTTCTGAACAATACAATGTTCAAACAACAATGACACATGCTGTAGACATATCTATGTTGTTTACAGTAAAAGGGCATGTATCACAGTTTGATAAGACATTAGACAACATTGAACAAATCTACAGGCAGTTGTCTGCACATAATAAAGCCCTCAATAACAATACATACATCTCAGCAATTAACCTTGCTACTCCTTGTGAGTATAGATGGGTAGCAACAATGCTAGACAGGCAGATTACCTATTATAATCAACTACCAACAGTTACAGTAGCTCAGAAAGACGTTCTGATGCCAGCTAAGCTGATACACAAATTACAAAACACATATACTGAGTATCATTCTCAGTACTCTCAAACGAAACAAGATACTGAACAAGACAGCCTACAAACGAAAGGCAAAAGTGTAGCTAAAGGCAAAACAAAGCCTTACAATAAAGTTAAATGCTACAACTGTAATAAGTACAGGCATATGTCAAAAGACTGCCAAAATCCTCCAACAAGCAAAACAACAGAAGCTCAAAAGAAAAAGTATAGGCAAACAGCTACTACTTCTACTACTACTACTACACTGTCTCAACCTGCACTTAATGCAGCAGTATTCATTGGAGACGATAACGAAACAGCATTCATTGAAGACATTAATGAAACACCAATGCTAGAGTCTGTAATTGTAGAAGCCTCAGCATCAAGTTCCAGCAGCTTACCTGTTCAATCTGCTCTATCTACTGAATCTGATGTATTTTCAGCATTTGAAGTACAAGAGGAAGGTGTCATGCAAGTAGACAACTTTATGAACTCATTTAACAATGTGAAAGAAGTCATTGAGGAGTTCAATTACAATTCAAACGTATGTATCAATACAATATGTTACAATGATACTGAACTAATACATTGTATTAATATATTGGACTCTGGTGCAAATGTACACACTACTCTATACTTGTTCTGTCTTACAAACGTTCGGAACTCAACCCTAATAAACGTTACAATTGTAAATAAATTGTCATTCACACTTAGCAAAAGTAGAGTGATGACATTTAATGTAAAACTACAAGACAAAGTTATTTAAGTGTAACACCTGTCTAGGTTTAATATCTGTAAGTAGCCTGCCTGGCAGTAGTTTCACATAGATGAGTTTGTCCTCATTTAATTCTCTGTAAAGATATACAGATTTTACATCTATCTAATGTATTTCATAGTTCTTAGATGCTGCCCAAGATAACAATAATTGTACTGTTAATAGTTTTGTTACTGGAGCAAATAAGTCATCAGAATAGAAGTCTATTCCATTCTTTTGAGTGTATCCTTGCACTACAAATTGTGCTTTATATTTGTCTATTTGGCCGTTAGCCAGTCTTTTGATTTTATAGACAAATTTTGTTCCAATTACATTTATATTCATAGGGGGGATAGCATATATCTACACGTTTCATTGTTGAAGTGACTGTATTTCATCCTTCATAGCTTTGATCCATTGTTCTTTGTCTATACGTGTTATAGCATTGTAATACATTAATGGATTGTTATAGACTTTGTTAAGGAATTTGTTAAATTCTGTTAGATACATAGCTAGGTTTATATTGTCTTTGTAATTTAAACCTATAGTTTGTTTAACCAGTCTTTGCTCTTGTGTAGAGTGTCATATGACAGGTTCTTTATCTTTATTATTGTTATTAGGAAGAGTTTCATTGTCGTTTGATGTATCATTGTTATGATTATTCTCCCCTTCAATCCTAGACATTGGTTTGTCTATGAATTGTATGTTGCACTTGACAGTAATTTTATTATCATGACACACTAAGTGACCTTTACTGTTGTTATCATAACCTAGCCATCATGTGTGTTAGCCTCTAGGTTGTAGTTTATGTATTCGTTCATTCTGTATGATACAATATACACTGAATTCTCATATATTATCTATTTAATAATGTTTGTTATACTGTTTGTAATATGGTGTTGTGAAATTAATAGCAACTCTCAGCATTCTGTTATGAATAAACGTTTGATATTGTACCACATATACCCAGAATTTCATAGGTAATTTTGCTGATAACAGACACATACATACACTGTTAAAGATAGTCTTATGTATACATTCTACAACTCTGTTCTGCTGCAGTGTATTGTGTACTGTTAATCTATGTATTGTTCCTTGACTTTCAATGTACATAGTGAAGTCTTTACTTAGGAACACTGTATTGTTATCACTTTGGAGAGTTTTAACTCTTATACTGTACTGTGTAAAGAGTTTTATTGTATGCTTTACATATTCAGTGAAAGCATTGCTTTTATGCTGCATAGGTAGCATAGTTACCCATTGTGTAGTGTCATCTACAATGGTAAAAAGATATTCATACTTGCTGTAGACTTGTACTAGGGCAGGTCCCTATATATCAATATGGAGATGATTTCTATAGGATTGTACAAGAGGTGTTGTTCGTATTTTTGGTATTTCATTGCATTGTATGTTTGCTTTGATACAATCTGTACACTGTGCATTTTTATTGTCTGTTATCCTTTGACTTATAATCTCAGGATACTCTCATATGAGTTTGTACAAGTAATTGAAATTAACATGACCTATTTGTTAATGTAAATCAACAATAGTGATTGTGCTAATAGATCGTTTATTATGATGAGAAACTATCATATACAAGTTATTTTGTACATGTATTTCACCAATCTTTGTATGAGTAGGAGAATAAATAATACATTCATTGTTTGTTTTTGTTAAAACATATCCTGCTTTGCATAATAGTGCTTCACTAACAAGTATGAAGTTCAGATTGGGATGATAGTATACATTTTGTAGTGAAATTGTATTCACCTTTGTATGCTCATTGGAGTGTTATACAGATTGAAACAAGTAGGTAGACAATGGTACAAGAAGATTACCAAACTACTGCTTAAGATTGGATTAGAACAAGCTAATTACAATCACACTGTATTTTACAAGAAACAAAATAATAAAACAATTCTTGTAACATTTATGTATGTCAACAATATTACAATTATTGGTGAAACTATCACTATAATAACAGCATTTAAACATACATTAAGACAACACGTTGCATTTACTGACAGTAACAAAATACATTGGTTACTTAGTATTGAAATAAGCTAAGATAGACCTCAACAAACAATTAGCTTACAGTAAAAGCATTATATTGAAAGTATAATCAAGCATTACTACTTTGAAAACGAAAAGGCACTACAAACGCCTATTACTCCTGGAATAGACCTATCTAACAATACAAACAATATGTACAATACGAACAAAAGTAATAATGAAACAATGCCATACATGAATATGGTAGGATTGTTAAGATATGTTGCAGACTGCACACAGCCAGACATATCCTATATTACTGGGCAATTAGTGTGTTACTTACAAAAGCCCCAAACACATCACTACAAAGCAGTGAAACATTACTTTGTGTATTTAAAATATACAACAAATTGTTAGCTTCAACTTGGAAGCACAAACGCCTTAAAACTACAAGGCTATTGTGATGCAGACAGACGAATGACAGAAGGACATAAAGTAATAAACAGTTACATCTTTCAATTAGCTAAATCAACCATATCTTAGTCAAGCAAACAGCAAAACCTGGTACCACTATCTGTTTACAAAGCAGAGTTGCAAGCACTGGTGTATGCTACTCAAGAAGCCATTTGGCTCAAACGATTTGCTGAAGAAGTACTGCAGACTGAATCAGCACCCATTACAATTTATTGTAATAATCAAGGTGTAATAAAGACTGTAAAGTCTGACAAAATAACATACAATGCTTGTACTAAACATCTTGATTTACAAAAAGACTTTGTACAATGTTACATTCAAAACGAATACATTGATGTATGCTATGTTCAATCACAGAACCAATTAGCAGACATCCTTACAAAGGCTCTCCACATCCTACAGATCAAGCATCTAAACAAACTATTAGGCATACAGTCTTAGTTCTTAATTAATGCTTGAAGGGGAGTATTAGATTGCACTCTGGATTAGGAAATCTCCAATTGCCTTATGTAGAATTACTGCACTTGGAATGTCTCGGATTATCGGACTTCACTATGTAGTATATAAGGTAGATACTTGCTTAATATCTCAATAAGAGAGAGTACTTGGGACACTCCTGCTACACTTGTTAAAACCCTATTAGTTACAAGTCTAGAGATTAGCTAGATTAACTAGGCTACCTTTGTTGTCCTACTTAGTAAGAACTCTAGCTTAGCATTATAAACCTCTAATCATTACTAATAGGTAATCAATCCATTAGTAGAGAGAGGGGACAGGAAGGAGTAAGTACTAAGTCAGTTAGGAAAAGGTAACAAAACCTGTAGACAAGGTCTTTATCTCTCTAAGGTTAAACACATACTCTAGCACAGTATTACTTAATAATCTCAACTAAAGACAAGTCATTTAGAATGCTTGTATAGAGAGAGGATCTGGAAAGAGTATAGTGTCTAGAGTAAGAAGTATAAAGGAAAAGACTAAGAGAAAACCTGAAGAGATAAAAGGAAAATATTATACTTACTTGAGGAGAAACTACATAGCTAGCTAGGAACTCTTTGTACAAAGACAAAGGACTATTAAAGCTAGTAAAGAGCCAGAGCCAATACTCTAAAGCTCTATACTTGAGGAGGACTAGTACTAGTGTGAAGGAAAGGGAACTGAGAGCTCTAAGGAGAGACTATAGGAAAGTAGTCTCCTTTATACACTTTGCTCATACAGATGGGAAAGTAATAAAGTCATAAATATAAGGACTATATAAGGACAACATGAGGAATACATGAGACAATCGAGAACTTTGGTTGTAAGTTCTATGATTAAATACAGAAGTATAAAGATAAGGCTAGAAGTTAATAAGGATAATTGTCTCCTAAACTAAGTCTATTGAAGAAGACTTAGGGAAAGATCTAGAACATTGGTTGTCAGTTTTAGAGTGTACACAAGACAGTCTAGAACTTTGGTTGTAAGTTCTAAGGGTAGTACAGAAGCACAGCCTTTTATATTACAGAAGTTATAAGGAGTCATTAAAAGTCATAATACTCTACCTTATAAGAAAGTATATTACAAACTAGTGTACAGGAAGTACAGGTTGAGTCAGACAGAGTCATAAGAACAATAGAGAGCTCTACTTTATAGGGAAAGTATTACACAGCTTACACAGTATAACTGGTCAGGAGGACTCATAAGGAGTCATTAGAAGTATGAGAGGAAGTATAGAAGATATAACAATACAGTAAAGGAGTCATTAGAAGATTAATCTAGGATACAAGAAGACACAAACTAGTGTTAGAATATTAATAAAAAACACAAACTAGTGTAGTATACAGTCTAAAGGATTAGCCAGCTCTACTTCATAGGAACAACAGTGAAGGGAGTTACTAAAGTCACTAGAGTAACATTACTCTAGTAAAAAGTATATAAGGAGGCTAGTTTGGCCCTCAAAAGATGGTTTTATCAACTTAAGTTACCTAGTACTTGGAAGTACTCTACTACCAACCTACTAGGCTACACTTGTAGCTTGACTAAAGTAGGACTCCTCTACCCTCTCACTCTACAAGTCTACAAGTCTTACCCTCTATACTCTATTCTGTTACTATTCTTAAAGATTAGAACTAGTAAAGTAAGTATATCTAACATTTAAGGTCTTATGTTACTCTGACCTAGCTAGTGTCTTAATGTACTTCTGAACAGCTACAGTCAGGGATAGTACTAGTTCTGAGAGGATACACATAGGTTGTAAAATGTAGACTGATTCTGTCTTTTCTGCCTTTATCAGATTATATTCAGAATCCTTTAGGATAACTGTCTAGCCTTCTATATTAATAATAATCTAGTTCTTCTAAAGGAAAAGTGTACTAAGAATCATTTCATTATACAAGTTATTAACTATACAAGCTTTTACAACCTTTAATGTTTATTTCTAATCTACTAACTGTACTTACAACTTTATCTACTCTGTAATCCATTTTCCTGACTCTTCTACTAATTTGATAGCTAGTGTTATAATAATGTGTCTTTTGAGTAGGAAGCACTTAAGACCTATCCAGGACACTAGTTTCTTGTCAATCAGAACTGTAGAACAGTCAGAGTCAATCATAGGTTAGATATGGATTAGAGTAGAACTGCCTTCTACAAGAATGTAATAGTTAGGGAATAGTAAGGAGTTGGAAATTAGAACATACTTGAATTTGTCTTTACTTGTAGGTTCTAGTACTGTAGACTGCTTAGTTTGTGTGAGTATAGTAGATTTTTACTTTGAATGTAGAGACTCTATATACACTTCTGTAATAGGAACTGTGTCTTTAGGTTTTGACAGACCTGTTAGACAATTGTTACTCTTATAATTTATAAACAGTTTGTAGTACTAGAAACATTCCTGGTTCTTTATTAGGAGTTAGTACTCTGTATAAGACAAGGTAATACACTTTATAGTACTTTCTAAGGTAACCCTTAGACTGGCTGTCATTAGAATAAACTTCCTAATATATAGCTTCTCCTAGTCCTTCTTCTAGACCTATTCTATAGTTAAGATAGTCTCTATACTGTTGTAGACCTTTGTACAATCTGCTTCTAACTGTTCTGCCAGCTTGTGTACATACTCTAACTATTTACAGAGTCTTACACAGTCTGTTACTTCCCTTCTCAGGATTGGTTCTAGTGTTAGAAGGTAGTCTACAGGATTGGGAATTTAGCTATTTACTAGTACTACTATATGTACCCTTTCTGTATATGTTACAATCTGTTCACTATATGTTAGAACCAGTTTTGCAAGTGTAAGGTAAAGCTTGAACTAAAGATCAGAGTACAGATTAGTCTTAAGAAGCTTGTAAAGCCTGTTAGAATTAAGGTGCTAATCTTTTAAGAGACTGAAATTTATTCTAGTAACCTATAACTATTATTCTCAGAAGTTACAACTGTCTTACTATGTTACAAGCAGCTTGTTCTGGGTTTGCTCTACCTAGTCTGTAAAGAGTATTTTACACTAGAGCTCCTAATAGAATGTGTCTAGTATAAGCCTCTCAAGTCTAGTCTAGTTATACTTGTACTACTAGTACAGTCTACTGTCTTGTAAGTATCCTATTACAACTATAACCATACAGGTTGTAAGAATAGATTTAGTAGACACATACTTGTAGAACACAAAGATTTATAACTAGAGAGTATATAGTGTTAGATTGTCTAGAGTCAACATTAGAGGCTTTATAGTATTCTCTCAGATTAGCTAGACTTTAGTAGATGTAGATTAGAACATTGTAGCTTTCTAGTGTCTTAGAGTAGGCTTGCTTATATTACTATCTACTTCTAATAACTCTGAGCCACTCTCTGAGTCTGAGCTTAGAGTGACTGTAAATGGTAGTAGTGTTAAGGAAGTGAATACAGATTCTCTAGTCAACAGAGGAGTAACTGTAACAGCTTCTAAGAATACCTAGTACTAAGGGAAACAAGACCTAGTTATATATGGTTAGGAAGAGGGCTGAACTTACTTTAGAGCTGTAATAGTGTGTTTAGGAAGGCTGGAGAGTCTTACTAATAGTAGGGAGTGTTCAGGAAGGTTGGAGAACCTTACTAACAGTAGGAGATGTTTAGAGAGGCTGAGAGAACCTTACTAATATGTAGTACAACAAAGACTACTTTGTTAATGTTAAAAAAAAAGTAGAACAGTACTAGAGAAGTACTAAACACTGTTACAAACAAGTTCTGAGTTTGTAGCAACACACAAAGACTGACAGGACAAAGGTATCTTTGTTACAGTCAGAAATACAAACTTATACATAAAATGGTCTATACCTAAAGGGGAAAATAAAAGGGGAGAACAAAAAAGGGGGAACATGATACATACTTAAAGAGTAAGACAAAGGGGATAATATACATCTAGGAATGTAGGGAAGGTAGTTATAACAAAAGGGGGACTTAATACAAGTATGAGGGAAAAGTGTGTAGCTTAGTAAGCTACTGTAAGAATCTGTGTATAGGACACACAGCTCTGTACTATAGAACTGTACAGAAACTGTTGTAAGCTGTCAGACAGGCTTACAATTCTTTGTAAAAGAAAAAGCAAAGAACAATAACTATAACATACACATATATATACACAATACTATGATTGTAACAATTCACAATAACATTGTTAATAATAAATAATACAAACACACAATAGTTACCATTTACAACAGATAACTATAACAGCTATTAAAGAAATAATACAACAGATTGTATAGTTACTCAGAATGTGTTAGAAACAATTCATTACAGAATACTATTAGGAAAAAGTCTTAAGGCTTATATTAGCTTATAAACATATAAATTATATAAACTTTCTAAAAAATATAAAAGACCATATATCCAACCTCTCAAAATGAGAAAATTATAAAAAGCTATATAAGATACAAAAAGGTATGTACAAATTGTTAATATGAATAAGGTTTATAAGTGTTGACAATATGTAAACAAACTTATATCCAACCTCCTAAAATGAAAAGATATTAAAAGAACTTTGTATTTTAACAAGAGTAATATAGTTTTATAATGTATACAATCTAATGTAAAGCTTTAAAAGTAGTATGTATATTGTTAAACATTATTATACTTTATAAGTGCTTTATAAGGCTTTAAAATAGTTATAATATTTTACAATTCAGGTGTTCATTTATTTCTCCTTTTTTCCTCTTATAATTAAGTATTTACATTTTAATACACTTGTATTAATTTATTTCTACTACATTTCATTCTAATAATATTGTTCTTGTGAAACAATCATACAGACACAAAAATAAATAACAGAGAAGGAAAGGAAAGGAAAGGAGTGTTCAGTTGTAGAGAATCATACTTTGAATATTTATTAGACTAGTCTTTACCTAAGGGACAGAATTGTTAGTAAGTACAAGTAATTGAAGTAAGGAGAGGGACACACTATAACAATGTGTAGGAAGGGCAGGTAGTGTACTAGGTTGAGATCTGGAGCATCAAGCAAGCTGATTTGAGCTATAGACAAATCTGTGTCTGTACATGTGTACTGTATACTCTTACTAAAGTAAGTAATAGGGGGTGTAGTGTACTGAGTCATAGATTGTAATAGTGTATCTCTGGAACGTTCTGACATGAAGAGACAAGGCAACATGAAAGTTGTGGACAGACTCAGTACAGGTAGTGTAAGTAGTAGGTTACTACTTCTGTTTAATACAGTGTTATACTTAGTACAGAGGAATGTAAATGTACACAGTGTAGCCTATTAAAAGTAATGTCAAACATTGAATAGGTAGGGAAAGAAGCATGTACCAGGTGAGAGAGAGGGTGGTACAATAGGAGTAGTTATACAGGAACATTGTTACAAGCATGTGCTTGTTAATTGTTACTTACACTATAGAGTAGGAAGAAGTACACAAATGTGTGGAATTATTAAAGAAGTTGTTCAGTATTAGTCAACAATATGGATGTGTGAATACAAATGCAAACAGGAAGGCAAGTGTAAAAAAAGGAAGGTAATGAAGGAGGAGCAACACAAGACACAGTAAGGAGTAGGAGGGATAGAAGGGAGACAAAAAAGTTAGGAGGAGAGGGATAAGCAACTATTGTACAGACTATTATAGAGTAGACTAGCTACTTACACTTTACACTAAAGGACAGTGTAGTCAGCTTGGTAGCATCATTGTAAGATCTGAGACCCAGTACAGGCATTACAGTAGTAGATTAGAGAGACAAGTGTAGTAATATTTATTACCTATGTTGTTACAGACAGAGTGCCTGCTAGTACAATACTTGTAAGTAGAGGACTTAACTAGAGACTTAGAGAACAGAAGTAATGACATAGTATTAGGGACAGAGGGTTAGGGAGATGGTGAAGGTAGGAGGTAAAGGAGTGACAAAGAGAAATGCATCATTATATACTCCTAATCTTCAGCAGTTGATTATGTAAGCAACTATAATATGAGTTGTTAACTGATAGAACATTTCAATTATTGTATTTAGGTATAAAATAAACTTATTGATCTACTTTATAATATAGTAAAAAGTAATATAACATGTATATAGCTTTCTAAACACACTAATGTAATTATTACAAGTAGATGAAATGCCTTTTACAATAATTGTAAACTGCTTGTATAAATAATCTAAGTATAATATACATTAATATACCTTTTGTATAAATTATAAGACAACAATAGTAATTATTACATTATTATATTATAAATATAACTCTTTCTTTAAGATTATAATTTAAATATAATACAGGCATAACACTTTAGGTTGTTATACAAAGTTAGTATAATACATGTAATAGATTTTATTCATCCCTAGTACTTATGTAGTCTTTATATACATTAATATGTCTTATTTAAACATTGCAATTCAATTACAATCCTTACAATTACTTTATAATGTATATACAATACATATATTACTTTACAAAGTCTATAAGAAATTACAAGAAATCTGACTTTTTCCTAATGACAATATTAATATATAAATATAAACAATAGTATGAAGTAATACAAACATACAATACATTCATAATGTAATACATATATGATGCACCTAGACACATAGTAAGCTGTCTACAGCTAGATATAACATTTATGCAACAAATATACACTAGTATAAAACCTTATTAATCTTGGAATGAAGTGATCTGGCAAAAACAAATATTATTATTAATATTACAATATACAATCAATGTAATGCTTCAATCTGAAGACATAAATCAGCTATTGCTGAATGATTAACACATATATGAATGTAGACAAACACAGACAGTAATAATTAAAGAAGGATATTATTGTAACACCAAATATACATTTTACTAGTGTGATTCATTAGTTTCACAGCAAAGTAAAAGGAAATTACTAGAGTACTCAAACAAACTTAATAACAAACAATACAATCAAATAACAAACAATAAAACAAAACAAGCAATTGTATTTATGATTTAAATATGTGTATATACATACCCATACATGCTGACAAGATTCTGCAGGTCTCTAAAGCATTTACAAATTATTTAATAACATTTACAAACAATCTATTAAAATAACAATACTGTTATTGAACAGTATACTACAAACAAACAAACTAATTGAATATATTTAATTAATATAACATCAGACAAACTTAACACAAAGTGGATGACATTTGGAACAAACAGATGGTACACAGAACAGACAGTACATTACTATAATGCTAATATTATTATTATTAACTACATCAAGTTATAAACACGTTACACAAACAAACAATTATACAATACAGTTATAATGATTAAACTATCTATACATACTACAAGCAAACATCTTACAAGTCTACTAGACCTAGTAAGAGTTTGAAGGGGAGTGTTAAGACATGACTACACAAGAGTATGTCTCAGATGATATAAACTACATTACAAGCAATGATGGAATATATTCCATCATACATTCTACATCTGAGACATACCTACATAGTATATATAGACTAACTAATCAACAGATGATAAAGCAGACACTAGAGAGCAAGCCAAGTCCACTATCCCCCCTCTTTGTGTGATCCCTCTAAGCCTCTCTCATAACCCCTTCCTAATACAAGAACATTAAGATAAGATGGGAGGGGTTTGTGGTGAAAGAAATGGGAACTAGTGTATGAGTGGAAACTGTTTTGAGGGTTTCCCACATGTGGAAAACTAGCAGGGTAGTTTCCAACATTGTTGACATGTTGGGAATTAGCTAACTATATTATGCAATATGCCCAAAATAGTAATTTTCCTCAATACATACAAGAATTTGGTAGGGCTAACAAACAGTTGATGATTTATTTCAATCTCTCCAGGGGAGAGGACTTGTACAAACATAATTATGTACTTTATTCCCTCATTTTTCTGTTTTTTTGAACAACTAATATGCTACTTAATACAGTTCACCACATAGTATTTTTCCCTGTTTCAGTTCCACTTGTGGTTATCCTCGTGAGTAACCCACGTGGATAACCTCAGTGTGGCAAACTGGCCAGTTTCCACTCGTACTCTAATAGGAACATAGCGAATGACAGCAGTTCCCTTATGTAATCAGCATGCTCACGAAAATAGACCACAACAACACTTTCCTGGTGCAGCATTTCGTTCCTGAACTATACCCATCCATCAACATCTGGAACTTACAACATGAACTGAGCGACTAGTTGATTTATACATGTTCACAGCTAAACTAACGGACTTGACGTGTATGAGAAGACTAAGACTGTATAACTATCTTCGATCAAGCAAAATCTCACTCTGTACGCTGTTGCTTATGGTCAAGATCTTAATCGCTTGGGCACTCCAGCCTGGGTGGACTGACGACAGGCGGGGGATAATGCGCTTTAGCTATGCTTGGCACTGGTGGCCGAACTTGGCCACATACTGGAAAGCCACGCCGAAACATGCGTATATAAGAGGGACAGATTTTGGTCTGTGACGGGCCATCGTCCTCGACGTTCTTTTCCTGTGTCCATCAGCTATCTACTGAAGCCACACGACACGATACTTCCTGCGACGCATTCGACGTATTCATTACCCACGACGACTTCCCTATCCATCCGATTTTTGTCGACGGTTCTATAGCAAAAAACATCCAGCTTCCGATGAGCCTGCCTCCAATGTATTCCATTCTTAACTTCGGTAACTTTGTGAACGATGCAAAAAGACGGCCCATAGTAGACGAACGTTACACGCCGATTCTCCACGAAATCTTTTCGCCAACGTACCGTGGGCCCCATCTTCACAGTTTTTGGAATCCTTGTAACTGCTACAACGTGATCTGCATGTTAGCGCACCACTTGAATGACGACGCATTTTGGCAGCAGCCAGCGAGCAAGTTGGGATGCGCGACTTTTAACGTGGAAATGGGTCCTTGGGCATTTTTAATTTCAGGGGCAGAAGACCGTACCACTCGACAAATCGCACCAGTGTCTATATATGAACTCGTATGTAGACTCCATAGAGAACTGCACAAACCTATGGAGATCTTCGAGCTTAACCTGAGCATAATACCCGAAGAGACAATCGGTCTAGTCAGCGATTATCAAACGATGCTATGTAAAACCGACGATCATTGGAAGCAGAGGACGGGGCTCGTATCTGACAGACGCGATAGGAAATACCAGAGGATCGACTTTCTCCATCGGAACAACACCGGAAGTGCTCGTCGCATTATGGCTTTCGTGTGCAACTACCAGATGCAGAGAAGCTGCTTCATCACTCTGAGTTAAAGGAGTAAATGCATATGCAAAGGCTTATATTTGTAACTACGATAGATCTAATGTGCAGTACGTTCGTAAAAACACAAAAAACACCAATCGTTCACAGGCAAGCAATAATACAAATTCTCTCAACGAATGCAAAGCCATCACGTCCAAACGGACTGAATCCAGGAATACTGATCTTGAACTGCGTGACTCAACATAAACTCTTGTTTAGCATTTGTTGCATTGACTAGTGTACACTGTTTCAATGCCGTTGAGTAAATACTCCGATCTACATCCTTGTAAGGCGACACCCAATTCGATTCATCGTCCTTCTTGCTTTTGCTCCAAAATACGACAAGCTTGAGTTTTAAATAGCACTCCGTACTTCTCTTAGTCCTTCTGTACTACTATGAAGCAGTGTGAACCCGTTACAAGAAAACATTTTCTTGAAAGTAAGTAGGGGAATTATTTTCGACTCATTTTCTTTGCACCTCCAGTGAGTACCTGTTACCCACTCATGAATAAATAAAAATGCTGTATAAATTACAAGAAACGTACCAGATCTTTTAAGTAAGATGGGAGGGGTTTGTGCAACGAATATCTGTGGTCGAATTACGTAATCAATACGATCACGTGAAACGGCACTGGCACTTTTCTACGTCGTAGTACCAGCATTCTACTCTTGACCCATCCATCAACATCTCGATCCTGCACCCTGAACTCAGCGATTATCTAATAGATCCTGGCTCACAGGTTCAACCAACGGTCTTGACATCGATGGGAAGGCTAGGCCTAGGACTGCATAACTATTTGAGTCAAGCGAAGTATCACTGTACGCTGTATCTTATGATTCGGCTACTAATTGTTTGGGCCCTCCAGGCTGGGTCGTCTGAAAACTAGCGGGGAATAATACGCTTTAACTACGCTTGGGCCTTGGGACTGCACTTGACCACATGTTAGAAGTCCACACTGAACGATGCGTATTAAAAAGCTTGTAATCTCGGACTTTGATGAGCCATTGTCCCCGACGTTCTCTTTTCGTGTTCATCGACTGAGGCAAATACAACGTAATCTTGCCTGCAACATTTTCAGTGTATTCATCCTTTGCGACTACTTCCCTATCCATCTGACCTTGCTGAGGGTACTGCTATAAAGCTATTGTAATTCCATGTCCAAGAGTCAGTATCATTCATATGGGGTCTGCGATTGCCGTGCTCATCCAGATCAAATTACGGCCTTTCGCAAGTGGATGCAAAATACGCGTATTCAACGCCCTGGATCCTACTGCAAGTACCTGCGTTTCCATGAAGTATTTTCATCAACATATTATGATCCCTGCTTTCCCTGTCTATGGAATCCATGTAATACCAATAACGTGATCTGTACATTGGCACATAGCATGAAAAGAAGTGAAGTTTGGGAGCAGCCAGCAACCATACCTCAGTGTACATCGCTTGTTGTGACGATGGGACCTTGGCAGTTCACGGTCAAAGGCGAAAAGGACGAAGTTACTGGAGAAACCAAGCCCGTTTCTATATATGAACTGGTCTGTGTTGTCCATATCGAGCCGCACAAAGCTATGGAAATCTTTGATCTCAACATGAGCAAGCTCCCCACGCCTACAATCGCTCTTATTGACGAATACCATGAAATGCTACGCCAGACCAATATTAATTGGAAGCATAGAACAGGGTGCTTCTCTGATGTCGGCTGTAGGAAATACCAGAGGATCGACTTCCTCCCTCGCTACAGCGCCGGAGGCCCCGGCGAATATTTGACTCTCAAATTTCCCTATCCATCTCCCACTTACTTCAGCGCCCTTCTATGTTGAGGGAATAAATGTATGCATATAACAGTGTCTATGTAACTATCATATTACTGTATGCAATGTTGTTAACGAATTTTGCCGACTGCTTCGCATGTGGGTAACAATGCAGGGTTCTCTTTGTAAGACAAACACGTTAAGTTAGAATAGACTAAATTACGAAAATCGAGTTTTGAACGGTGTGACTCGGCTCTAACTATCTTCGATCGAGCATAATAACATGTTGTCCATGTAATTTATGTTAGAGATGCTTATTGCTTGTACCTTGCATGCTGGGCTGCCCGACGGCTAACAGGGAATAATATGCTTTGGCCTTTGAGGCCTCACTTGGCCACTCGCTGGAAGGCCACTCCGCAACATACTAATATAAGAGTGATAAGCTTCAGTCCTTGACGACCTGCCGTCCTTAACGTTACTCTCCTGTGTTCCTCATCTATCGACCGAAGCGCTGTAACACAATCTTGCCCGAGACGTATTCATTCTTCCTGACTAGATTCCTATCCATCCGACTTTTACAAGGGGTTCAACAGCAAAATCTATTCAGGCTCCAATGGACGATAACAATGTTGTACACAACTATACTGGAGAGGGGAATCCTGGGAGAATGATGATATGCAGTCAACTCAATAAACTGCCAAATCAAATTGAAGCCTTTTATTGGTGGATGTTAGATTCACAGGAAGAGCACCCTGTACACTATGATCACTATGAGACTCTCCATGAAGTCTTTGCACCAACATTCCGTGGACACTGACTCCCCAACATATGGAATCCATGTAATTGCTACAACATGATTTGTGCATCAGCACATTACATGGATGGCGACGATTTTTGGGAGCAGCCAGCATGCAAAGATCCGAACATTAACACGGGTTTTCTTGTGACAATAGGTCCTTGGCAGTTTGAATTTCATGGGGAACAGGATCGTGTCACTGGACAATTCAAGCCTATGTCTATATATGACCTTGTCTGCAATATTCATTTTGAACTACACAAACCTATGGAAATCTTCGAACTTGAAATGAGCATAATTTACAAGGACATGATCTATTTGGTTGAAGAATATCATGAAGTGCTACATCAAACTGATGCTCACTGGAGGCAGAGGATGGGATGCATCTACAACAACAGCTGTAGGGTATACAAGAGGATCAACTGGCTCCATTGTGGTGGAACTGGAAATACTAGTGAAATATTGACCCTCAAACTCACCTATCCTTCTCCTGGTAAATGTAGTGTCACTCTAGGTTAAAGAAGTAAACATATGCATGTACCATAATTTTCGTGACTGTGATACTACCATATTATCATACTGTTGTGTACAAAGACAAAACAAGTCTTACAGTTCTTTCCACACAAACTTTGAATGGCTTGACTCAAGGTCTAAATATAGTTTTATGAGTTTGTTCCACTATTCTGTTCTGTTGTAGAGTATGATGTACTGTTAATCTTTGTTTTGTTCCTTGTGAATCTAAATATTGTTGGAAATCTTCACTAAGGAATACAGTATTGTTATCACTTTGTAAAAGCTTTATTTTAACTCTGTGCTGTGTAAATATTTTAGTTGTCTATTGTATGTATTACATATATGCATTGGATTTTGTTTGTAATTTGAGTATTATGCACCAATGAGTAGAATCGTCTACAATTGTTAATAAGTAATGTATGTTCTTATATGTGTGTAGTTTGATAGGACTAATGATATCAATATGAATAAGATCTCCAAATTGATTTGCAAGAGGAGATTGACATAGTTTTGGTATTGGTGTACGTTTGATATTTGCTTTTATACATTCAATACATTCTTTTTCTTTGTAGTTTGTTATTTTAGTTGATAGTACACTTGGTTGTGTCTTTAATAATTGTTTAATATAATTGTAACTTATATGTCTGAGGTGTTTATGTATATCATAAATAGATAGTTTGTTCATTGTTTTTAATAAATGATTATTGTACAAAATATACAAGTTATTTCTCAATCATATATGTCTGATGTATTTGTTACATAGTGATGTTATAGTACAATTATTGTTTGTAAACATAAAAGAATAACCTTCCCTACATAGTAGTGCTTGACTTATGAGGGAAAAGGTCATTTGTAGATAGTAATAGACGTTTTGTAATGTTATGACACTTTTTTCTTGTATATTCTTCAGGATTTCAATACACATAGATTCAGCTTGATTAAGAGTCATTATTGATCTATTTGCAATAGTTATGATTGTAGGAGTTATGTTGTGTACATCTGTTAATCAAAATAGATAAGGAGTAGCATGTATTGATGTACTGGAATCGAGTAAATCCATTGTTTGTGTATAGGATTTCTTGTTAGCTATGATTGTATTTGTAAATACGTTGGTACATACCTAGGAAACGTATTGTTCGAATTGTTTGTCCTGGTTGCTCAGAATAAGAGCATAGGCATTATTGTTCATTTCAACATCACCTTCCTTTAATTCAATGTTGTTTTTGTTTGGGTTTTCAATAATAAATGCATTCATTGTGTTTTCTACAGTTTGATTCGTTTTATGCACAATGTTAGCCTGATGTTTAGTGTGTGCAAGCTTTGTAGCTTCAGTAGGAGGTTTGCAGCATTCCTTAGAGAAATGTCCTGTTTTTCCACAATTGAAACATTTTGCTTTTGTTAGATTGAACAGATTTGGCAGATTGAATTTCCTCTACTTATTGGCTTTATACATTGTATTAACACATGCATTATTCTTTGTCTGATCATTAGAATCTTGTACTTGTTTAGTACAGTAATTGTTGTAGGTGTTCTGCAATGTAAGGATTAGTTGCTTTGGTTCAACTTTCTTATGTTCATTGACTGGTTTGCCTTTGTTTTGGGCATCAGTAGATTGTATTATCATATTTACTATGTGTGTATATTGCTCAGGAGTGGCAAGCAATATTGCTGCTTTGTATGTAGAGTTGTGTAGTGGATTACTATTAGTAGACAGAGTTGTGTATGCTTCCTCAAGTCTGTCTAATGTATGTCTGAAATGTTTTACATGGTCTCTACAAATAAACAGTGCTGATTCGTTGATGGCCTTTTTATGTGCTGTCTGAGGGTTAAAGCATTCTTCAAGTGCTTTCATTAACTGAGGGATAGACGTATCAAAGTGTATATAGTTTGCCAATATTGTGTCAGTAATGTTATTAACTATGCATGCATGAATGGCCTTAGCCATCTCCCTCTTGGCTTTGTTCTGTGGTTCATCCTTTAGTAAGTGTTTAAAGCATGTAGCTGCAACACTAGAAACAATACAGTAGTGCCACATCTTGTAGTTTGCTTCAGTCTTAAGCATTGTGATGTTTTGACTGAAGTATTTAGGTACATTGGCTAGTTTACAGCACGTATCTGTTTGTGGGGGAACCATGATGCAAATGTGTGCAAATGTATATGAGTAAAGAGTTTAGAGTGTACAGTGGATGTGTGTATGTAGGGAGCTCAAGGCTCATAACCTGTTGAGAGGGAAAACTTAAGGGGGGCACACATAGACAAGGGGTGAGGTGATGATTGACTGCTCAGTGTCTCTTGTCCTTATATTGTATGTATTCTAACTGAGATATTATGAAGTCATTGTCTTGTGGTTTGTCCATTGATGAACTAATCATCTCATAATAAAAACATTACCTGTATGTATGCTAGCATTATCAGAGGAAGGGGGATTGTGCCCTAGATAGTCTGAGAGCATCATAGTAGTGAGTGTACTGTGTATGTGTAAGTGTCATATCTTGTATCCCTTTACACCAGCCAACTTTTCCATTCCCTTGAAGAACTTTGTAACATTAGAGTCCTTCATTGTAGCATTAACAAAGGTATGCATTGTAGACAACATCATAATAGGTTTGGGGGGAGAGGGAGGTCTAGGGCTTGGTGGGCTTGCAGGAGGCAAAGGCGTTCTGTAAGAGCAAGTGCATAGAGGCATTCAATGGGCACTAAGGCTCATAACCTTTTAACTAGTGTAGCAGGAGTGCCCCAAGTACTCTCTCTTATTGAGACATCAAGCAAGTGTCTGCCTTATATACTACATAGTGAAGTCTGATAGTCTGAGACATTCCAAGCACAGTAACTCTACATAAGGCAATTGGGGATTTCCTAATCCAGAGCACAATCTAATACTTCATAATGTCTCAGTTAGAATACATACAATATAAGGACAAGAGACACTGAGCAGTCAATTGTCACCTTGCCCCTTGTTCTTGTGTACCTTCCCTCATCACAGAGGTGTAAGAGCATATCTAACATCTACTGAATTTCTGGTTATATTATAGGCTGAAGCAGCAATTCATATTACCTATATTCATAATAGAACACTGTGTGCTACTTTAAATTACAATACCCTACATTACAAACGTTACAGAACACACAGAACAATTGATAATATATACGAATTTGGTCAATATATTATCATTTGTAACAAAAATCCTACAAAAATACAACAGTAAGGTATCATTGCTTGTTGGATAGGATTAGACAATGAAAGTAAAGGCCATAAAACATGGCACAATAATAAAATTACCATTGAACAAAATATTCAATTTCTCAAAGGTAAACCTCCTCAAATTGAAGGGGAGAAAATAGACAATACAAACAACAATATGAACAAGTGTTTAATAATTAAAAATAACAAAACAGACAATAGAATAACAAGAACAGATGATGATGATACAGACAATGCTGATCCTAACAAAAAAGGAAAAGCAGCAGAACCAACAGACTTAACAGATAACAAAGTTAAATTAACTGAAAAAGAAGTAGAACCTAAATTACATTGATCAGAACAGAAACAGAAACTAACAGAATGTGCTATTGAGCTTGAACAATGTATGGAGAATAAACACATAACAAAATGTATGTATGCACTTAGTAAAAAGGATGAAGATAATATTGTCATTCATTTAACAGAATTTAATACTAAAATAAGTGAAATACAATTGGATCTGACTTCATTTTATGAAGCAATCCAATGTTCAGATTGTGATTCATAGATTACAGCTAT